GACATCGATTCTGTGGCTTTAAAAAGCTGCTCTCTTCAATTTCCAGTACACAAAATCATTAGTCATTTTGGAAAATCTTATCTTAAATACATATTAAAAGAGAAAGTGACAACAATGAGCCAAAAGGCATGCTCATAAACCCATAATAAGGCACTTTCACAAGTAAACAGGCTGAATTCCAAGACTGTGGTCCACCCAGCAGCTCTGTCCTAATGTCCTTCCTAAACTGAGAGGCAAGACACATCATCTTTTTCAGTCTATCTTTGAAGATTCATGTCAGGAAGTGAGCAGGGATGACTTTATGTGTTTTAAGAGGGCACAAATAACAAAGCCAGAACCTTTTTCTTGGTGCATTTGTTCTTCCTCTACATTTTTTTCTCTTGTTTCCAGCAGTAATCTCTGTAAAATGGGACATGCCTCTCACTTCATGTCTATACAAGTGCCCAGGTGTACTGCTAGAATAAATAATCCGTATACAGAAGAGGTGCCAGTAAGACAGGCAGCATTCAGGAGGATGCGTAGTGCTGACCTTTCTGCTGTGTGTGGTGAGGAAGCTGGAATGAGATTTCATTCAGAGGGAAAGAAATGTGAGGAGATTGGTTTTACAAATTTCATATGTTAGTTACATTTTATTTCTTTTTTTTGTGGTCAGGGTCTCTATGACGTTAGAACTGACTATGCGGGAAACAGCATATGAACACATAAATTGATAGCTAACATTCTCTCTGAAGTGAGTCAAAAAAGGCACAAAATAGAAAATGTTAGCCCTCCTTCTAATATTAGCCCTACTTCTGGGTGAAGTACTGTACTCTGTATTCATTCAGACTTCTACTTACATGCATGAGAATGTTTCCTAACTACAGCTTGCAGAATTTGTCCTCTCAAGTTCAAATTACTGCGCACTTGAAGATCTTGTTAGAACTTAAAATCTGTAGTGCCCCGTGAGAACTCAAAACATCCAAAACACACTTAGAGTTGAAAAAACACAAGAGAGGCTTCTTTGCCACTATCTTCATTCTTGTATCCATAGAAATAGAGGTTGAGTTGGGAAAAAACGTGCTGTTATTTTAAATAATCACCATATAGTGATTGCTGTAAAGCGTGTGCTTTGTTTGAACTGGTCTGACACTCATTTCCATAGAAACAGAGAGAGGATAGCAGCTCACTTGTTTGAACTGTCTTGTGGATTTCATCTATGTCAGAATGCAGGAATATAAAGCATTTTAAAATGTGGGAAAAGCCTGGTGGTTTGTACTTAGATTTTATCCTTTTTTTATTCCCCAAAGCCAAAGAGAACATTAGTGAACTTCTTGCAAACTTTATTCTGGGAGAAGAGAACAAAAATGACATATATCAACTTCCAGTACATTTATTGGGGTGAAAAGAGGAGAACAGCAGTAGCAGGTATAATGGGGTGATGTGTGTGTGTGTATATATATATACGTGTGTGTGAATAAGTATTTCCAAGTTATATATTTCTGATAATTTTTGTTACTCTGCTATAGATCTTGTGGGGTTTTTTTACTAAAACTGAAAATGTTAGGCCATCTAACTCAACTGTTTTATTTCACACAGCTCGTTTATTTACTAACTGATAGCATTAATTTCATTTGAATTCCCATACAGTAAGCCATGATATGAGTTTCAAATTGCAGTTTGGCTGAAGTTCAGAGAAAAATGAATAATGCAGAGAAAAAGGAAATTAAGAACTCAGATTACGTCTTTGCTCTTGCAAAGCTTCCATGCAACAACGCAGTTTCTGCATTTTTGACACTGTGAAATGATTTTTCTCTGCAGATTCAAGAGAGAATAAATATTTTTCTCCCCAAGTTCTAAAGAGGCATGGTATCTACCTGGATTCTAATTTATAGGCTTTCATTCTTTCTTTGGGGAAAAAAAAATTAATCTCATTCCTTGTGTTGCTTATAAGGAAGGACCAAGACTGAGAGATTCTGTAATTCTACATGCTGAACATGTCTGGATTAGTTATATTGTCTTCCAGCTACTGAACATTGCCAGCTTATAGAAGCTGCTTTCAAGGCTATGGCAAAGAAACACATTCTGCGTATCAGGATAAATAGTACTGTCTCCCTTCCTACCTTTGTATTTTACACCACTGTCTCTAAGTTTACTATGTAAGCACTATCAATAGCAAGGAATAACAGGGATTGCCAGAATTGTTACAGAGTTTAGGTTAATGTTGAATAGCAAAGTAATCCCCACTGGAAAAAAAGGAAAAAAAGAAAAAATGAGAGAAAAAGAGAAAAAACGGTCAATGCCATTTTAACAAAAGCATGTCTTCAGTATCTGTTGGCTGCAGCATTCGTAAGTTGTTCTCCTCCATAGGAAGGTTTCCCTAAAAGGCTACCTACACATAGGAGCACTCAGCTGCCTCTCATGTTGTTACTCAACCCTCACTGCTTCACCTCTCTGGAGGTTACCGACAACATTTTCAACCTCTCCCAGTTCAGTCATTCTACTTGAAAACTGGCTTTGCCTTTGGGTTATACGTGCACAGTGCCAAAAGCATTCCAGGTTCATTCCTGCACCACTGGATGGTCTTTTTCTTGCAGCACCACAGGGCTAGAAAAAGCAACATTATCTCATTGGAAAGAAAAGATTCACAAGTTCTCAGTAGGCAAACAGCCCTGCAGAATTTTCTGATTCAAAGGCTTTCAAGCATGAGAACAGGATATTTCTCAGTGGTTTTGACATCTTATACATTCTTTTGCATTGAATGTGTGCTTGTCACAGATGCACTATCTACTCATAGTCACATATAGACTGAGTCGCCATCATTGACATCTATCTTCCAGGGATTAATGAGCAGTACAGAGAGGAGGAGGTGGAACACATCCTGTTAGAGCTATAGCAGGTAGCCTGGATATGAGATATTTCTCCATTGACTGTATAGGGAATGAGGGTCTGGCATCCTGAAGTCATACATCTGACTGCACTCACTTGAAGTTATGGTATAGAATCACAGAATGGCTTGGGTTGGAAGGAACCCTGAAGGTCATATAGTTCCAGGCACCCTGCCATAGGCAGAGACACCCTCCACTAGATCAGGTTGCTCAAAGCCCCTCTGACATCGTAGATACGTAGTTATGAACATAGCAGGTATGAAATTAGCGTAGACAAGTGAGTTCACTGTACTCATCAAAACACCTTTCTAGAAGATACATGCATGTCCCCCAAATGCTTTCTTTTATGGAGGGGTAAAAAAATCTGTGCTACTTGTAACATTCCCCTGGCATTCATTTCTACTTTCAGTGGAACTGACCTATGACAGCAAGTGTCAGATTAAATGACCAGGTATGCCAAGATCAAGGGAAAAAACTGGAGAAGTAGGCACAAGACTCCTACAAGTCTCCTTCCAGTGCTACAGCCAGAAGGCATGGTGTAACCGATTCAGTTCAGGGCAAACACTGTCCTTGTCAGCAGCCAGAAGGAAAAGCTTCACACACCTGGCAAAGTTACTGTTTGCTCTACTCATCCGTGTTTGCAGTCGTAGATGCTTGCTTGACCTAATCCATTTTATTGTGTTATTTCGGCATCTTTGATCCCATTTATCTGAGTTCAGGAAAACTTAATGGAATGTCCCTGACCTCAAGCAGGTTCATGTGAAAGCTGGTTTACTTATATCTGCCCAAGACTGAGGAAGCATGACTATAACGTTTGTGTTATCCAGTTGTTGTTCTGTGTGTGAGGAGGGAGAGGAAAGAAAAGTGGATTCAGACTCAAACATGAAATTCAAGCTGGCCAAAGTTCAGTGTAACCTCCAGAAAGAGGTGCCAAAGTTTGGAAATTCAAATGTGGATGTGATCCAGCTTCAGTTGGAGCAGGAAGAGATTTAACAGAATTAGTTTGGTTCCATCATCTCTCACCTACTTCTGTTTTTTTTTTTTTTTCAGGAGGAGGATCAGTGTGAACATGCATGCCAGGGTGTAAACAGCTAGATGTTCTTGCCTACCCTCTTTATACCCAAGCACAACACTGGGGCAGAAGATGTTTTCATGCCCCATTTCCAGTGTTGCTTCTACGCTCTGTCCTGATGGCAGCTCTTAAAGGCACTAGGAAATGAGTGTCCTGATTTATTCTCTTTAGTTCCTCCAGTACCTTAAAAGGAGCTCCAAACTGCATTTGAAGGTGGCTGTAAAGCAGGTTGCAATGACAATCTGTTTGAACTTCTCAGTGGTTTACTTTTCAGTCTTACGAAAGATTTCAGGGAACAACCTGAACTCCTGTGAAGTAACTTCACTATGTTCTGTCACTTTGCAATCAAAGCTTTAAGCAAGCCTACACACTTTAAACTCAGCTATGATGAACTACATGAGTCTTAAAGCTAAGGGCTGCGATAAGACGTTGTCAGGGAACAACATGAGGAGAGGAAGCACAGAAAGGGAAAGTTTCTTTTGCAACGTGGAAGAGACAGTGCCATTTCTTACCACAGCTGTTGCCCACCGAAATCCCTCATCCAGAGCTCCTGCCAGGCATGGCTGTCAGTTGGGTTTCTCCCGAAGACCTGTGAGCCAGTGCCTAAGGACAGGAGCCGGACTGGAGCGGCAGAGCTGGCAGGGTCCGGCAGACGCGACAAGGAGGACTGAAGAAGGGAAAGCAGCGAAGGAGTTGCGCTGCGGGGACGGGGAGCGATGGGGAGAATCTTACACCTGGCTTGGAAAAAATGCAAGCAGGGAAATGCTGTCACAAGTCGGTGACAGTCCTTCAACCATTGCCAAGTAGGAATAAGGGTGGGGGAAATAAGTTAAAAATAAAGCCCTTCTCACGGCGCGTGAAGACGAGATCGTGCCCCTTCGCCAAGAGGGAGGTGCCGGGACCTCGAACTGCCCGGAGAGGGGTGGAGAGAGCCGGGGGAGGGCGGGCGAGGTGCAGCCGGGTCTGACTCAGCCCGGCCCGCACGATGTGCGCTGAGGGCAGTGCCAGGCACGGCGCCGCCGAGAAGCCTCTTCCCTTCCCCTTCCCCACCGCCCTCGCGGGCTCCCCTGCGGCGGCGACGCGCCTCCCGCGGACCCACGCCGGCCGGGACCCCTTCCAGCCGCGGCCTCGGGCAAGGCCGCTCCGCCCTCCTCCTCCTCCTCCTCCCGCGCCCCGCCGCCGGTGCTGCCCCTCGGCGGAGGGCGCCCTGCGGGCCGGCGGTGGCGGTCCCGCCAGCCGGGACCGGCTCCATCATGTGAGGCGGCGGGCCTGCCCCCCCCGCCCCGAGCTGCCCTCAGCCGCACCATGAGGGACGGGGATGCGGGGCAGCACCCACGACGGAGACAGGTAGAGCCCGGGCGGCTCCTCCCCCTCCTCTCCTGTGTGATCCTCGTGTGCAGCGCCGAGGTGGCGGCGCTCGCCGACTTCTCAGGTACGGGGCGGGCAGCGGGAGGGCCGGGACCGACTAACGGTCACCCGGGACGCGGTGGCCGGCGCGGGAGACGGGAGGGGCGCGGCGGGGTGGGCAGGAGGAGGGCACCTGCGTCCCCACCGCCGACCCCCCGTATCACCTCGGGAAGGGAGCCCTCGTATCCCGGCACCCCCCGGCGTGAGGCGCACCCCGTACCCTCGAACGGCACCCCCAGCACCCTCGAACGGCACCCCCAGCAGCCCCTCGTACCCCGGACTAGCGCCGACAGTGTCCGCGGCGGGAGGCTGCCTGCCGCCTGCGCTCGGACCCCGCCCGACACTGCTCGGAAAGCTGCGTATTGACCGGCGAGCTGCAGGCACGTCTTGTCCCAGGGCCGGGACACGGGCCTGCACCCATGGGAGCACGGGCGCATGATTCAGATGTGCCGCGGCCGTGGCTCCGTGTGAAGGAGGGGAGGAAGGAAGAGTGGGGGTGAGGTATTTCAGAGAGGTCCGGTGGGAAGGGACTCGAAGAGTTGGACTGCCAGGTTCTTGTCAGCTGCGCGGTGGAAAGCGGTGCGTGAACAGGCCAGGGCCTGACCAAAAGTGCGTGGCGTGGAAGTCCCTGGAAAGATTCCCACTTTCTCCTGGAGACTTGGAGTCGAGCCCTGAGCGAGCAGTCCTTAACTCCGGTAGCGAACAAATAATGCTGCGCTTCTCTCCGCTGGGAGAGCGTTTCGCCTTAGTAGCGCTGTGATGGTGAGAGTCACTTCAAAGTGAGCAGAGGCAGGAGCTGTCATTTGGAAATCAAGGAGGTGATCCCTGCAAGGGTGCTGTGTCGGTGCAAAATGACGTGGCTGTCGAAACTGGAAAAATGTCCTTGTTTTCACTAGAACAAAGAAGCAGGTTTTATTTTCTGTTTGAGAAATCTGAGCTTTTGTGACTTGTCTTGTGTGCGAGGGCATCTCACTGCTGTTAGGAAGTTGCTTATAAGAGTGGTTTCACTCCTTTCTGTATCTCACAGTAAGCACAGCATATACCTGGCAGTTGCAAGCTTAAGGAGTTGCCCCTAGGGCAGAAAGCAAACGTTACCCTTAACGAGCAGGGCAGAACTTTCCAAAAGCCAGTTGAGTGCACCGGAACAAAGTTAGCATATAATAGTCCAAATGTGTTGTTACCCATATTCATACAGTTCATGTTAACACAGTTCAAACTGTTGGTGGGGGTTCTGTGAAAACCCTTTTCTCAGCCATAAGAAAATACTGTTTGTGATTTTATTATTGTGTCCCGAGTCTATAAGCCTGAACATTTCCAAGCAAGCAAACACCAAACATAAAGACCAGGATTATATACTTGAATAAACTAAGTTTCTCTTACTAGATTCCTTTTACATGCATAGGGCTTTTAAATGTTTGCTATCTCATTCTTTGGTGACTTTTTGGCTTAACTACTGGCTTGTACGTGTTAGTTTTGGAATCATATGGCAGTTCTCCACAAGAAAATAAAAAGTTCAAATTTTCCCTTTCAAACAGCCGCTGAGTTAAAAAATACCCCTCTAGTTTATCTAAGAAAGTTCCTCTCACAAAAGTCTATTCACTTTTCAAACGAAGTTATTTAGATAAGGTTATCCAAGGTATGTTTCAGAAGTGCAGCTGTATTCAGTATTCATTGTGCTCTGAACTTTCCAAATAGGTAGAATGACCAAGGCAAAATGTCTCACCCCAGAGATCAGTATTAAAAGTGCCATGCAGAGAATTCCATCAATAAGATGTAGAAAATAAAATCAAATTCCAAAATTATTGCCAGATTGGGAAGTTTCCAGCCTGAACAAATTCTGCTCCCTTTTTCTTTTTACTTTTAACATGGGGATCTAATCCAGAATAACAGGAAAGACTACACAGAGAAGTTTTTGACTACTTCTGAAGTAGGTGCTGTGGGCCAGGGCTGTCAGAAGATGACACCCTGCAGTTCCGTTCCCAGTCTGATTAATACCTGTTAGAGAATTACAAGCTCTGTAAGAGCAGCTTCAAGCTGAACTTCTAGAGTTGCTGAATTCCCTTATTTGCTCCCCTCCTTAGCAGGAACAGCGACTTGATTTTCATAAGCTCTGTTGAATTTACGTGAAAACAAATCTGCCCTGTTTAAAGGGGCGGCACCGAGCAGTTCACAAGGTGCAAGCAGCTCCTCGGGGATTATCCTGATGGATGAGGAGCGGGGAGCTGGCTCCCCCTGCTTTACCCACCACCTGCATTTTGTGTCTTCTGGAAGGGATCAGGTCTAACCCTGCCCTTCTGAGGGTGAAGCTTCCAGGGGGCAGGTTATAGGTTTCCACGTGCAGTCCGTACCATAGCAAATGAAACAGATCTGCACCTTGAATGTGTTTGGCATGATTTGATCAGGTTCTGGGAATTTGGGAATGCACAGACAATTGGAAGGATAGTTGCTTAAATTTTCTCTGCTTTTCACAGATTTTAGGCTCAGATTATTAGGTGCATACTTTTTTGGGTCATTGTCTTTTCTGCTCTCTGTGTTTCCAGCATCAGATCTCTACCTCAGCAGCCCAAGCTCTGTTCTCTCCTTCTCCCCCCACTCTCCCCACTCTGACAACTTTCTATAATCACTTCCCAGACTGTCAGATTGCAACAAGGGCGCATGTAATCTTTATTGTTCTCTTCAGGTGGATATTAAATTGTGCTAGCTATTCTAACCTTCTCAGAGTCCATTTGTTAATCACAAGACCTAGCTGCTTGCCTGTAACAACACAAAGGTGACCCCTCTTGGGGTGTCATGTTTTTGGCAAGGGGAGCAGGGAACAGTATATATTGATAATGAAGGTTTGGGGTTTGGTGTGGGGTTTTCTTTTTTTGTTGTTTTGTTTTCTTTTTTAATGTTTGACTTGTATTTATTTCCCCATTTATAAAACTGTGGTAATTTTTTATGGATCACTTCGCAGAAGCAGTACAGTGTTTATCCTCCCTTTTCATAAAAGAGAGGTTGGCAGCTCTGGCTGTGAGTAGAATCTCTTAATTTGGTTATTGCAGGTCAGTTGCTATTGTGGTTTTGTTATTACTCTTGCTCTTACAGGATATAGAGCTGCAGATTCTTGTTCTCATATGTTTCTCAGTCTGGCTTTTAACTATGATTAAAAAAATGTTGGTATGGCATTTCTTAATTTCTTTTTGGTCCCGTCCCCCCCCCCCCCCCCCCTTTTTTTGGAGACATTTCTTCACTGTGCAATAACATTTTATGACTTGATGTGGGAATTGGTATTTTCTAGGGAGAAAAAATTTCAGAAACAAGACTCCAGCACCAGTTCTAAATTGAACTATGAGAGGCACTCAGGGGCAGTAAGCAAAATTAGTTTCTCCTTTAAATAACAGGAGATCTTGGAAGTAAAGTAATGTTGATACGCACAATACTTAAAGAGCTGCATAATCTATTATTGTCTTAACAGTTTGGTGGCAACAAAGAGCATATTTATTAATTGCATTGGTTATTGGAGGTGGAGGTTTGCTCTGAGATCTGCCGTCCTCTGTGATTCGTTTTTAAAAGTGGCATCCAAGCTTTTATTCCCAAATTTGAAACTGAAAGGTGAAGGTTTGGAAGAAAAGAGACATTTGATCCGCAGTCCTTTCCTTAGATCTTCATGCATATTGGTTGACCCTGTAGCTAGGAAGTTTTCTTCCCCTGATGCCAACTCTTCAAGACACATCTAAAATAACTTTTCACCAAAATATTTATTCATGTCCACAGTTTCATCCCTACTTAGCACTTGTCCTCACACTGTTTTTCTCAGTGATCACTTGCAGCTTTCCCATTTCAGATCAGGTCCCAGTCCAGGTGACTGAAGCCTGCTGTGAATTTTGTTAATTCTCTCATCTCTGGGCGCTAAAATCCTAAATACTCTGGGCTCCCAAGGGACTGTCAGAAGTGAAGAGGGACACTTTTTTGTGCCAAATCAGGCCACATGACAGCTGTTTCCTCACAGCTCCTCTGTGTTCAAGAGCTGGTTCCCAAAATGGGCAAAATAAGGAGCTGGCAAAACCACCGAACTTATATACTATACTTAATTTATATACTACACATATATACTATACCTATATACCTGTGCTGGTGCTATAGAAAGCTCATCTGTCTGCTCCACTGCTGCTGAGGGAGAGTTGGTTTTGCTGGGGATGGTGGCATTTGCTGGGGAGTGTATACCTTCCCAACAGCAGGAGTCACTGCTCCTGTGTCTCACCCCCCTGCCCTCCTTGCTAGCAATGGGAAAAGTGCTCAGCTCTCCCCTTGTCCCTCTCTGTCCTAGCTCTGATCCTTCTCCCACTTTTTCCCCATCTGCTGTGAAAGTGAACTGACCTCTTATCCATCGAGGAACAAATTCCTTCTCTCTGGCAACACTGAAGAACACCCAATCACCTTTTTTTTTTTTTTTTATGCCACTTTCTTCCTCCTTTTCTCCATGCTACTTGGAGTTTAGGCTTTCTGCTTGAACTGACCTCCTTTGCTCACTTCATCAGTCAATATCTCCCTTTCTTTGCCTTAGTCCCAGCCAGGTTTTCTGGGCAGCTTTTAAGAAACGTGGCTGTAACCGAAGATCAAAAATGAAGTAGCTGTGTGATTGCATAACTGGCTGAAGAACGACTTTGTGGATGTGAACAGAGAAAGCAGTCGCTGCTTAGGTAGAACTTTTTAATCTTTGTCTGCTGGTGTCAACTTTTCTTTCTTTTCTCAGAACAGTTCAGACAGAACTAAACACTGCTTTAACTCCATAGACTTGCTCTTCTAACCCAGCATCAGAAAACAAATGGATCTAATAAAAAAGCAAACCAGTTCACCCAAGAAACATAATCTGATCCTGTGGCCTTTCTGCATTAAAAGTTTCCATTAAGTTCTGTGGCATTCACCCATCCCAGATTCCCCCAGGCAAAAGGAAAGCAAACAAATGCTTTAAGCAAATGCTTTGTTTGTAATAATGTGGCAGGATCAATCATGACCAACCGCAGTGATGCAGAGGTTTTTTTT